ACAGAACAGTATTTCAGTCATGGAATATCGAAAGTCTGAATGCTGTTGCCGGCGATTTCAAAGGTTATTATCATCATTTGTCATTCATTTATATCTGTAGATATTAAATCACCTATATGAGTAGGTGCAAATCAGGATCATATCTTTCGGAACGGTGACCATTCGCTGTGACGATCAAAATTTCTGCGCGACCACAGATTTACGACGTGTGGGGGTACTGTCACTGCTGGAATCGTCCAGCATCTCGGTTTTCAGTTTAGTATTACGAACTGACGTGCCCTCAGCAGCGATGACGTCAGTGACATTTATCGCGGTTTCTGATTGTATACGCTCGTGTTTTACGGTTGCTGCCGTATAGAAAATTTGCTATCTGCATATATCATTGTTCCTTCCTAGTTATTAGAGGAATAAGTCGTCTAGTGCAAATATTCGAAATTATGTCGAGCATGTCAGGTGACAACTGGCTGGTGGAAGACTCTGGCCACAGCCGATATATCGGAGGAGACAGCTGGAAACATATACATAGAAGCAGCAGTAAAAGCGGCATGGCAGCAGTTGGGACAGAAGAAAAGACGATGGAAGCCGCTGGCCAGTTTGAAAAGTAAATGGTTGCAAGAAAACAGCGGGCGTACCAACATTGTCAACACAAAAATTTCAGAAGAGAAAAATAGTAAGAAATTAAAAAAAAATTATTAAGAGAAAATAAAGCTCTTTCGTGGAACAGGCAGGCTGAAGTAATTAAAGTTGCTGCCTAGGAATCTCCATAAGACCTTTCGAAGAAAGGTCTATTTTACCTTCGACATAAAAAAGCTTCAAGTCACAAAGGCTAAATAAGAGCACGCTATATTAGCGTCAGGTTCTACGGAAGCCGCTGAGGTATTGGAAAACAGATCAGCACTTAACTATGGCGTGATTGTGAAACATTATTCATCACATGACGTCATACCTTGAAGAACGATGGATGCTAGTCTTGACCTCTTGCCCTTGAAGATGTGAATGAAGCCTTATACCACCTGAAAAACAGCAAAACAGCAGGAACAGATGGAATATAGCTAGAACCAAGCAAACAATGGAATGTTGCCATTAGCGAATCTCACTGGACTGGCATTTAGAAAGAAGTGATAGTGAGTGATTGGACGGAAGAAATTGTGACAATAGCCCGGATCCAAATAACTGCCGAAGAATCAGTCAATTATTCGTTCCTACTTTAGTTTCGATGCGCTAACAAGAATAGACAAAATCTCGAGGAGATCATGCGTGAGGATCAGTCCAGATTCTGGAGAAACTGATATTCAAAATAGACAGCTGACAAAGTTGAGAGACGCTGTGTGTTAGCATTAGCAACAAGAAACAAGTTATTACAACTTTTGAAGCACTTAGAGGTTAGGAATTGCAGAAGGCTGCGGATATACAGAGATTACATTTTGAACATCTTGCTCCGTGATCACGTCCGCAGTTAGCAAAGATGAAAATAGTAACTAGGAAGCAGCAGAAATGAATACTAAATCAATATCTGAAGTTGTGGAGTGATCTTATGTTAGATGCAATTATAAGAAAGTGGTCAAAATATCTATCCAGTGGTCTACTATCAGGCGTCGAATTTAAGATGGTTTGGCCATTCCTAATGAAGGCCGATAGCGCCTTGCAAAGTGAATACTGAAGACAAAGTTTGATGGTAGGTGATCATTGGGATTACTTTCAACAAAGACCTGAGATGCCATGAGAAACTCAAAAATGAGCTAGCGCTTATTAAATCCAGGAGGAATGCTTGTGCGGAACCAAACGTAGTCTTCGATAAAATGGGATTAGAAGAAAAAGTTCTTAAACGTTTCTGAAGTAAAAAAAACAATACCGAGAAAGAGGAGAGCTAGCCAAGTGCGAATGGTACGTCTGAATGCTTGGCAGATGAATGGCATTGCCAGAAACTCGCGCAATCATGGAATTTGATTAAGTCAGCTTTTGCATATAACCTTGACATCTCCTTACCTAAGCTTCAAGTGGATGACATCAATCGATTCTTCACTTCCATAAAACGGGACACTGATGTCATCGTGCACCACAACTCATCCATTCTCGCCGAAGAGACTACGAATTTTTCCTCATCTGGTTATTGTCCATTTCCTGAAGGTACCATTCTCATCATCAGCAGCCAGAAAAGAAAATCCGCCATCGTTTATTTTGAAATTTTGTTCGACTGAGTCTAGCAAAATGTTCGATGATTTCCGTAATCAATGCTTGAAAAGAGCATCGTTCCGCGCTTTTGGCTTATCTCGAGAACCAAAGTAGAACAACCTCGCTGCAGCTGCCTGGAAAAGGCTCAGACACTTGCTTGTACCATTTATTTCTGTTCAGTTTGAGGGATGTTAAAATCCAGTAGGTTTCAGAGCCGACGAGGTACAAACGACGCACGTGCATATTTTGTGCAAGGAATTGTACTTTGGTGAAATGATGTTTGATTAACCACTCCATTTTACGGGCTGTTGCGGCGTACGAGTCCGAGAGTTACCAATTCGTGCGCATATGCTGTTGTACAACAACCTTGGTGTTTCGCAAGGTTCGACTGTTTTCCCACTATATTTTCAAGTCGTACATCAACAACTTCAGAATTGACCTTCCAAAATATGTGGATA